CTTTTGCAAACCACTGTAGTAGCTAGTACATTTACTTAGAGTATTTAAGTATTTTTGAGGATTTGTAATTTTACCAAGTAGTAATTACTTTTACTTTTATTTTGTTACATTTAAAACCTAAAATTTATACTTTTACTTATTTACAATTTAACACCTAGTTACTCGTTACAAATTAAATCTGTCTGAATTCATCGTGAGAGGAGTCGTTCATGCACTCTAAAAAATGAAGTGTTGACTTTACTCAACCAAGTCAACTGGTTTTACTAAACAAAGTTGAGTAAATGTAAAGCAATTTATATTTTTTTCTTTAAAAGAAAGTATGTATATTGCTCAATTTATTCAACATAGTTCAGTGACACCACTTTATTTAAATTAATTCAACAGTTTATTTCTTAGAGATTGCAAAAGTACCTTTACTTTCCTGATTTTTTGTGAACAGTTTTCTGACTTTTACTTGAGTACTTTTCTCAGCAGTGACWTTTTTTTTACCAAAGTCATTTTCTGTTAGGGTATTTTTACTTTTACTGTAGACCTCTGATGAAAAGTTGTATCTTATTGTTGGGAGACTCAGACTTTTGCTACAGTCTCGCTGAACTGTAAGGGATTTTGACTCGAACAGGACCACATGCCTATCCTGTGAAAGTCGCAAAACATCCTGCAGACTCCTTTTATAAATGTTCACTGACTGGTTGCAGCCAAGTGAGATGTCACCTTCAAATTCATTTTTATATTTAACGGAAGAAGGGGCAGGAACAGCTGCCGTGGGGTTCATCTCGATCCCTATCACTAGTTTTATCTTCTTTCTTACTTTCTTTCTTTTTTCTGTTTATAAAATGACTTGACTAGAAAAGGCAACGGCGTTGAACGAAAACATACCGCTTAAAATACAAAAACACGGTTCAGGCTGAAATACATTCTTTCATGTCTAAACAAGAACCAGTAACGTGAACTGGTGCCAAAAACACTGAATGTGCAGTGAAAACACTTGTTGGGCAGTATGTAAACAATGAAATCAAAGTATTTCTTTCTTTTTTGTCTTTCAACGTGCCGGCTCCTATGGGGCGCCAAGAGTAAAATGAAATAAAAATTCACTAACGTATTTGTCATTATTTAGCTCACTGTTTGTACAATAAGGTAATTTTTACTAAATGTTAAATTAAATTGTTAAAATATATTTAAATATTAAATCCTAAATCTAAATGTTTCAATCTAAATGTAAAAGTTAAGCCTTAAATGTTGAAGTTCACATTTGGGTATTTCTGAATGGAATGCAGCCTTTGCTGTTGGTGCTCGGCTCATTGTTATGATGTCATCATCCTGAGACAATAGAAACTGCTAGCACCAATGCAGCTAAAGCTTCCCTACAAGACATCAAACTGCTGCACCACAGGGACCACTCATATTGTTTTTATGAACACATTTTTAATTTAGATTTTAAATATTAGCTTTAGCAGCATTATCAGCGTTAGCAGCACATAACCAGGATGATGTCATCATCCTGTGACTAACATCAACAATGGCCACTGCATTTATGCTAGCTGCTGCTAACGGTGGCTAACAACTTTATGTTTAGATTTAAACATTTAGATATAGGATTTAATATTTAAATATATTTCTTAACATTTTAGTTTATCATTTAGTGAAAAATTAGCTTCATGTACGAACAGTGAGCTAAATAATAAAATGTTGGTAGAAATTTTTAAACACTTGAGCTAAATAATGAAAAATATGTGATATTTTTTAACATTTCACTTTACACTCGGTGCCTCATCGTAATCCAACATCCTGTTAAATATAATCCTCCTGGTTTAATAATCTCAGTAGAACTACAACAGAAGGAATCCTGAGAATCCACCTGTAAAGAATGGATGCAGTCAAGCTCGGCTACAGTTTTCTTTACAAGTTTTCTACAGTTACTGCGAGCAGCAGCAGCAGCAGGAGGGGGATGGGCACAAAAAGGTGGCCTTCTATAATAAACAGTACCACGCAGTGAGCCTGGACTAAGTGCTTCATATCACAAATGCAGTAAATGTAGGCGATTTCAGACGTGGATWAGAGATGTGTAATGTCACGCTGAAGCTGCAGCTTTAATCCTGATGAGAGCGGAGCAGAGGAGAAACGACACCGAAACCCTGAGGTAATTACTACCTGCCTGTCGGGAGGGGCTTTGTTTGGATGTGACGACAAAACGCTGCTCCCTGAGCACTGCTTATCGCTCTGCAACACTGATGAGCTTCTACGCAAAACGGTGAAGGCGGGGGGGCTCTTTCATCCTCCCCCTCTCAGAGGAGCGTCCCAATTTTCTGCTCAGGATGTGTGAATGATTATAGATGGGATTCCGTGCTGCCGATCGCTTCAGTCTCATTTTCAGATTAATTAGCAGTGATGATGCTGTTGCTCCTTTTTTTTTTTTAATCCACAGATGGCTTCCCCCGTTCCCGTCGTCTCAGTGAGTCAGCACAGTCCAGAMATGTTCTTCCAGAGGAAGGGGCCCGCTGAATCAGCCGTGGAGCCCCAGCCACGAGACGAACACTTCGAGTACGTCACGTTGCGACCGAGAAGTTTGCAGAAACACAATCTCTGGAGGCGCTGAGAGCAYGGGAGTTCATGTAGCTGGAGCAGAGGCAGAACCGTCGAAGCTGATTACTGAGCAGGCTGAAAAATAATGATCTCTCATCCAAACATGAGTCACTTGGATCAGCGAGTCTCAGACGGTCCCACGTTACGAGATAATATGAGGAGAAACAGATCGGCGGTTAAATGATACAGGGAGAATAAATTGCAGAAGAAGATGGGAGTGACTCATGGCACCCCTGCTGCTTTCAGTAGCTCTGATGACYGTGGGTGTCTAATAGAGTGAATCCTACAGAGAGGGGCCGAGGATCGTCTGAGAGTGGGACYCCACAGAGAAATACGAGACGAACATCAAAATGCCCTGCTTGTTCTGATYCAAAGGYAAAWAAAGTAAACAAAAATRATAGTCTGCTTATGAATGTTTCATCAATGATGAAASTAAAAGAAAAGTTGGATAAACTGGCAGCTACAGGTCTTAGTATGAGATATAACACTGGTTCTTGTGTTTTATATTGCCACAAATATGTTGTTCAGGCACGCTGCAGAGTTACACTCATGGTCCATGTAGGTCCGGTGGGTTTTCCTGAGCCCACTTCTGTTATCTGTTTGTTTTGCGCTCTGTGCCAGCCCCCACTCCCCACATCCTTCACTTTGGTCCATGGTTTAGGTCTCAGTTTCTGCTCTCCCCATCCTCAGACGTCTCCCCTTCGTCCACCTTCTCCTCAGACTTTAGGGGGAGGCGAGTCGGGCTGGGGGCTGCCGTCCACGCTCACCACTGCAAAGAGAAAATAAAAAGTGTTTCTAACCATAGCAGACCAGAAGGCCACCGTCAGGATCARGGAGTAAATGTCTGAAATGAAGATCTGGACCAGTTTTTAAATAATTTTAATAATTTTAAACACCGCTGGTACAAAGCTCCGCCTATTTACCCTGAAACAGAACTCCCACRCCACAGCGCCACCATTCTAGCGAAGCGTACCTTAAAAGTGTTGGATGTTCATGATTTCATTGCAAACCATAYCTTTATATTMATCTATATTTAGAGTTTCTTCGCTAAAACTAGCTTAGCATCGATGTCTGAGAGGAGCTGAAACATAAAGAGCCTCTTTACTCGCTCCGGTTCTTCAGGAAAACGTATTTTCCGTGGGATCATTCAAGTAAGACTCATCTGTACCCTGAGTTAATTCCAAAACCCATGTTATTTAATGCTGCCTCTTATTTATAARATAATACCTCTTCAGAAAGGTTGCTGAAGTGGGAGTGTCTGAAATGGTAGGAGTAGTTCATTTACCATTTAACTGTGGTATAGAATGGTGGTATAGTTTTTTTGCATGATTGCTTTACTAAACAACAGCTTTTGATGTTTTGTGACTGGTTCGTAGACCCTTTCTTGACTTTGACTTAAACAGACAGTAATTTGTTCCAATCACAGCAACATTGAAGCTTTTTTTTTAAAATGAATAATGTTAAACACAACTGAAGAATGACCCGTTCTGCATCACGCTCTAGCACCAAACCATAACTGTTTATTGAGGATTTGAACTGTAGTTTGGTGGAGGCTGATTGTAGCGCTGAAATAAACACTCTCCTCCCACAGGGGGTTTCTGAAACATCGTTTCCCTGCGGCTTTCACCTCCAAGACCCAGTTGATTTTATCCTCCAGAACCTGATGAAAGCTAATCAGCGTTATTTATATTCTGGTCAGGGTGTCTGCTGATGTGTTAAAGTTTTAATTCTTAAATCTAGATTTTTGCAATGCGCGGTTTCTGGCCTGCGTTTTTGTGGAGGAGCTCAGACAAAAGGTCAGGGATGTGCAGTCGGGCTGCAGGGCTACGACAGTCTTGTTTAAATTTTAAACTCCATCTATATGCATGATTGCATGGAGGGGGGGAGGGGGCACATATAGATGGCTCTTTGATGAGCTGACAGAAAGGAGGCCACYCTCTCTTCATGAAGCAGCTCTCACCCTTCACCAGTGACTCATGCAGGGAATACCCCCGTCTGAAAGTCAGTCACTGCAAGACTCTCTTTCTGCTCTAGTTCTTTTTTTTTAATATAACAGCTTATTTGACCTCCGGTGAATGGAGCCATTAGTGTTACTTTACCAACCAGTAAAAAACCGGTTGACTAAAAACAGGAAATAGATTCCTAGTGAACGCCGCCCCCTCTCCCATCCCCCACCTCTCCAACCTTTGGTGTTTTATAGGTTGTAAAGGAACCATCTACCTCCGGAGCAAGAACAAAGTCTTCATAAAGTGCTTCCTGGTACCGTCGCTTTGGAAGCGAGTGGGTCAGCGCGACCAAAAACATGACCTCGCCCCTGGTCTCATTTAAATAATAAAAATGAACAAACAAACAAACAACATCCAAGTCTGAAGTTCACCGCACCTGAGCGCATCACTCCTCTTCCTCGTTTTTCATCGATCTGTTTACAAGCCTACGTCAATGTGGTGTGTTTGAGGAAATGGGAAAAATAGGTTTCATAGTGCAGTCACGCACTTCCTGGTCAGACGACGTTCTCTAAATACGCACCAAATGTGTAAAAATGCGCACATTATGGCAAGACTTATTCATCATTACATTTGGTTTGAACATTACTTTTATAAAGTTTGAAGTCTGTGCTGTTGTAATCCAGTTCAAATGAACACTGAACGCTCGCACTGTTTTTTACAGAAGCCCTGTGAAAGCATCACAGCTTTGCCGATCTCAGAGGATAAACAGAAAAAAAATTCCTGTATCCGCGTCGTGATCTGGAACATCACCAAAATTTAGTGGTGTGTTCCTTGGCCCAGTCCCCACATGTGTTGTAAATGTCATGACAATCSGTCCACAAGTTTTTGAGTAATGTTGTCCACAGACAGACCGACATACGGGACCGAAAACATTACCTCGCCATTGGCGAAGGTAATAATAGTGTTTATAGATTAATTAATAGCCTATCTATAAACTATTTATAAGCCATCTATAAGGGAGCCTTATTATAAAGTGGTGCAGAAACCAGGTTCTCTCAGGGAGCTTCAGTTTGATTTCAGGTTTTTTGTTTGTTTGTTTGTTTGTTTGTTTACCTATCTGTTCCTGTGTGTGTGAGCGTGAAGGCTGAGGCTGCACTTCGGCCTGGGCTTGTTGTTGTTGCTGCTGCTGTTCCTGCAGACTCTGAGTGTCCACTGAGATGCCGCTGTCGCTGTGCAGCTTCTCTCCTTCTGGTGTCACCATCTGGTTGTTTGTAGCCGTCCGGTTATTAGCTGCCTGCTTGTTTTGTTTGCAGCTATTCCACCTGGAAATAAACAGAAACACACTCAAACCATTACAACATGACCTATATGGTAATACAAATGACCACATAATAAGATTTACTGAGCTATAGATTTGGGATTATTTAGGCAAAGCAACAGATTACAGCCTTATTCTGTATTATTTAAAGAGAGCCAGCATACACATGGTTAAAACAGATTCTAGTAAATATTTTAACTTTAATGATGAATTAGCATGAAAACTTTAGAACTTATTATTTAAACTTTTATGCAAAGATCTAATAAATACCACTCTTTTCAGCTGGAATTATGTTTTATACACATTTTATATGAAAACATAACATTTTTAATTAAATGTTATTCTTAAAACATAGAAATCTAATTATAAATATTTTACAAACTGTTTTGTGGCTGCAGCAGATGTACAATAAAATAATCACAACCTTTTGAAACGTTTCCTGGAAACTAAAATAAGAAAATATGTTGGTATTTCTCTGGTATTGTGGACCAGAAATAAGCACACTAAAWGCCAGCGCGGAGCATCAAAAACGAATCTAAAACAAAGAATATGAAACTGAATAAATAAGAGAATATTTCAAACAAATGCTTCAGTTTAATCCAGCAGTTTTCTTGGTATATTCTGAAATGCAGGTATGCATTCAATGTAAACAAGCTGAAAGCTAAAACCACATGAAAGCTTAATTACTCTGGTCTTAGTCTGAGGTAAACAAATAAAAGCCTCTAAGTTTTCAGCTGTTTTACACACAAACKAACACGTTAGTTTGCAGGTTTTGAACACAAATCTTAAACCTGTAAAATGAGAGAAAAATTGTGACTTTATGKTTTATATTTTCTCTGGTCTTTGCAGTTTGCATGTTTTCTGTTGTTTCAGGCTAGGGCTGCACGATGTTAGAAAACCTTGAGATTTGTCTTTTTTTTCTTTCCTCCCTTTCTAACCTGTACTCCCTACTCTTATTAAACTTTAACACTTTTGGTAATGTGTCTGCTGTGAGCTGTTTTATTAGCATGAAAAATACAACTTCAAAACTCTTCAAATACTTTAGTCAACAATTACTGCACTCCAAGCAGTCCTTTGCGATATGAATATTGCACACTCTGATATTGCGGTGACAATATTTTTGCGATATATTGTTCAGCCCTATTTCAGCCTGCAGATGTTTTAAGTAAATAATCTTAATGGCCACACTTTTGTGCAGGACTTTAACAAGKACTTCAGTAAAACGTTCATGAAAAATTCAGAAAGTGTTTTTGAACGACATCTTCTCTCACAGAAGACAAATGGCTTATAAAACAACGTAGCTGAATTATTTATGAGACTGAACGATATGGTGAGTTTAACACCACCTGAATTAATATCTGCTGTAAAAGTTCGCATCAGTTTCCTTTTCTGAACACGTGACAAAGAGGGTTTAAGTGTGTGTCCATGTGTGTGCGCGCTGATGCGTTTCCCCTGGTCGGCACATTTCAGACAATCAATGCTTCTAATGAGCTTGTTTACTTGCTTCAGTTTAGGCTGCGTTTGTATCTGTTTGTTAGAGGCTCTGTGTCCTCGCTGATGTGTTTTCTGTTTTTTAGGAAAACCTCATTATGGCTTTTTTTCTTTTTTAAAGAAGAAGTGTGTCAAAGCCACTTCAACAACAGTCAGCCTGAAAATGTCTTCACTTTACAGCCAGTTGTTGAGCTGATTGTTTTCTGGAGGAACATCTGCGTTAAAGTCTTTTTACCTCGAGCGCCGTCACTTTCAACCCTTCTGTCCCGGATCACTTCGTTGCTCTTTGTTTTTTTACTCACCTTTTAAACATGATGTAGGCCACCAGGCCCACCACCACCGCAGCCAGGATGGAGCAGTAGATGGGGATGAGGTTTTCATTCAGGCCTTGGCCGATGAAGTGAGGGGAGCCGGCGCTGGACGTGGTGGTCTCGCCGCTGGGCAGCGGGCTGTCGGAGACGTCGAGGAACAGGTCGCCATCGGAAGATGGAAGTGGGTCAGAAATGGGAGGGTCGTACGTAGGGAGGTTGGGATCTGTTTGAGAATAAAAAGAAAAAAACGAGTCAATGGTTGTGTATAATTATGACCCCCGAAGGCAYYGGTCATATTGTTTTCATACTGGTTTTTGTTTTGTTTTGTTTTGTTTTTRAGTGAATTTTGATCAACRGTAGCACAGAAACGGCTGCATCGATCAACATGAAGTCTGGCAGGACTGTAGATGTTTCCGACCTACACTGCACCAGCCAACYGTTTTATGATAGACCCCATATTTGAGGAGGGGGCTCCATCTAAATAGAGGGAGTCTGGACAAAAAAGAAATTCATTTAACTCAAAACTATTCCACATAGGAGCTTCAGATTGTTTTGTTATTTTTAGCTCTGATGAATCCCCAATACATATCCATAGCAATAAATCTGTTCTGGTGAGTTCTGACTTCTGGTTCATTGGTGCTTTGCATACYTGCAGGGGTCATACCGCCATGCAGTATCTAGTTGTTTATTTTAATCTGTAAAATCAGGCTGCAGACACACAGCTGGTAGTTCCCAAAGTCTTAAAGTCAAATCTGTCACAATCAGTTTGTGCTCAGAGTATAAATTAGAAATGAGTCTCAGCTCTGGTCACACCAAATTTCAGTTCAATATCCGTTAAATTATCTGAGTTGTTGTCTTTTTTCTGTTCCCTATAGTGACTCACCTGCAACGGCTGTTTTGAATTGTGTTGACTCCAAAACTTAATCGATAATGTTTGAATATAAATAAGTTATAAGTAATAAAAAAAAACAAAGTCACTGTTACATTCATAGTTCTCTGCGCTGATACTGCAGAGCAGAAATCTCATTATGACGATGCTGTGTTTGCAGAGAACTTGTTTACCGGCTTGTGATTAGTCCCACAGCAGATGTCTGGTGCTCTGCACACATGCAGCAGCTGCTTCTCATAAACAGATGGGCTCTGGCTAAGTTGCTGTGTGAAGGAAGAAGGAATCTTTTTTTTTTCTCTCAGCGAGGAGGGGAGGGGGCGTAATTTATATCATCCACCAGCCAGACCTGTCTTGGACCATGCACATCGGGTTTCTTCTCATCACGCGCTAATCTGTGTAGCGTCTGCACGTTGCATGACTTTAAGGCCATGTGGAGCTTTGAAAAAAATGCCGTTTGGGGATTTAGGGAGGTCATCTTTTTGATTGTAGTCTTGGCTGAGGCCAGAGAGGCTGGGAAGTCACGGTGCTACTGCAGAGCTCTGGTTTTTATCACAGCAAACAGCCTATAAAGAAGTCATTTCCATACATTGTTCTGTTTCTTTTTTTCTTTGACGGCACCGTGTCATATCCCATCAACACGCCCACTCTGATGGACACGAGTCTCTAAAACACATCGGTTTTCTGTACGTCAGCCTTTTTATTGGGCTGATTTGGTCAGATTATTTCTTATTTCTATTAGGATCTTGAACCAGGTTGAAAGGAGCAGCGATCCAGCAGAAATCCAAAACTCCTTTGAGCTGCTCTTTGTACCGGGCCTGGCAGGAGACCCCCTGTGGAGACCCCCAAGGCTTCTTTCAAGGCTTCAACACCTGGTCCTGAAAACTGTAACAGAGCACCCATTTCTTGTATTATGTCATTAGTTTATGTTACACTACAATAATAAAATACAGTAAWTGGGTATAACTTCTCTTTTTTTATTAATTTATGCTCTTCTTGTTGCAGTGTTTTAACATGTTCTCCTGTTTATACCAGGCTCAAACAATATTTCCTAAAATTAGGAACATCCTTATAGTCTTGCAGAAAACTAATCAATGCATTTGTTACATATAAAGTAAAGTTTTGCATAAAACCAGAGTTCCATTGTCTTTGCGTATTGACTGGTTGGATAAGCTCCCAGCCTAACAACTGATAAAAAAAAGGAGACATTCGGTGAATTGTTCTCAAACAATCAACGCCCTTCCTCTCTTCTCACTGACATGGCCGACAAAGATCCTCCACATTGATCTGCTGCATAATTTACAGTTACGAGCTTAAAAAGTCCGATGGGATCTTAATGGGCAACTTCTGTGGACGTATCTGAGAATTTTGTTTGTTATTAAGAGTCCACGTTGGCCTGTTTGTCAYTGTTGTGATGACAGGGCGCTTCTGCCTCACGGGACCGGAGCCGCTGCACTGGAACGGCTGAGGCCGTCTCTTGCAGGAACAGAGAAGTGGGTACATGTGCCTGCCATACTTAGAAACATCATGCAGAGCGCCGAGGCCTATTTAAAGCCGCTCTATTGATTCGCCTCTGTCTAAAAGCGGGGAGTGTTTAGGGGAGTTGAACACGGGAGTCTGTATTACACGCATTTCTTGACCTTTCCTCGGATGTAGTCAGGTTTCCTCCGCTCTGCCATACATCATTCAGCTAATGCCGCCCCGGCTAATGGTATTAGCAGTGCAACATGAGCTTGCAAATACAATAAGTTGTGAATGGAGGGTGCGAGACTCGAGGTGTGCAGACAGTCTAACCTTATAGACTGCATTTACAGTCCTTTAGGTTTGTCTGTTTTAACCTTAACGGTCTTTCCACACGGATAAAACGCACTTCACTAAAACTCAGCTGGCCGTCGACCAAAGCTGGAGTCTGAGGCAGCAGGGGCGGAGCTAGACTTTTTGCAAGGGGTGGCCAAAGTGTTTTTTTAGCGGGGCACATACTAAATRGGCAGTCTCTGACCAGTAGCTCGTGAGCTCATTTAAAGTAGCTCCAGTGCTTATGAAAAATTAGGAGAAGCAAATTGAATTTGTCACTGGCCAAACAAACTTTCATTTAATTCCAATCATCCACAGATAWCCCTCCCTCTTGGTTGTCAATCAAACAGTTCAGGGCTCAGTATGGTCGATCGGCAGACATCGCACAGTTACTTGGTTGTTCGGCATTTGTTTTCACACACCTTTCATAGCCCCTTGAGACACACTGTGCCAAGCTCCTGGTAAACRCCTCCCACTGCGGTATACATCACTACAGGGGGTTTCTCCCTGCTGGAGTCTACAATGTGGGAAAAAAAATCAAAGACCCGTCACCCGACGGTATTTGTGCACAAATTTGTTGCAGTTAAACCCAAAGTTATTAGTGTGAAATACACTGTAATATGATAGGATGAACAATAAAAACTCATTCATGTAAATTCTGTTTTTTGTGGTGGTTTCATGTGAATTAAAGACAATGTTTTTTGTGCAAAACAAGCCTATTTCAATGGTTGTAAAAAGTAGCTCTTGGACATTTTCATTTTGTGAAAGTAGCTCTTAAGGAAAAAAGGTTGGAGACCCCTGGCCTAAATAAATATAAAGTCACCAAAGCTTATTCCAAATTACTTTAATTTATCTGTTTTATAAATATTGAGCTGAGAACGATCAAAAAATCATGCTGAATGCTAGTCACAACTTTTTATTCAGCCATTTTTTTAAAGATGAAACTGAATGCAGAAGTAGCCGAAAACAATCTTTACCAAATTCTAAATGCTAAAAATTTAAGATGCTCGCCACAGACAAACATTTCAGGACATATTCAGATGATATTTGTTATGAAGTAGCTAAGAATGATCACATGCTGACAGCTGATGCTAACCCCAAATTAGGCTYATCACTAARGTTAATGCTAATTTTATAAAGGGTTGTAGTTCAACCATTTCTAAAATACACCCAACTGAAAATGTAAAGTACAGTGATTTCAGGACAATTTTTAACAAAATCTAAATTTTGTCAGTTATTTATTTAAGGGTGGCCAATCAGGTGTCACTGGCCACCGCAGCCACCCCTCTGGCTCCTCCCCTGYCAGGGCCTCCAGTGACCTTTAAGCTGTGATTTAACAAATGAGTTTACAGGTGGACCTGACTGGCTTTTTCTTTTTTTGCTTTTATGTGCAGTCGGTTCAGACAATGAGGTTCCAAAACCAAAAGTCTGGTTGTTCAATTAGTAGTCCTTTTTTTGAATTTATTATTTTATTCAACAAGGTGCCAGAAAAGCAAACAGAAAAATAGAAAGATGAGCTTTTTTGAGTCCTGGCAGGCCCACCCAGATCCACAGCATGTTCTCCTCAATAATTGGGACCTGATCAGCCTCATCGGTCCAGCTCTCTGCTCTAATGTCACGTCTGATAAAGTACTAATTGCATCTTCAAAGTTATTTGAACGAAATGCCTCAAAAGCAGCGTTTGGAATTTTAATAATTCCATCTTGGCTTCAGTGAGTGAAAGAAAATAAAAGTAGCCCCGGGTTTTTTATGAGAGCGAGGCTGCGTGAGCGAATGTGTTTATTACTGGGMTGTGGACACGAGAGGGAGGAAGAAAATGATTTAATTTTTATGAGTCACTGAGGTCTTTATGGTGAATTTAACCCCAGGGTCTTCTGCAGAGGTTGATGTCTTGGTTCCTGCCGGTTCGGGGAGGAGATGAGCAACTATCAGGCTCAGCGAACGTACAAAGGGCTCTTTATCAGCGACCAAACACTCTCCCTCTGTCTCAGCTGAGCGTCTATCACAACTGCCTGGTGAGAACACGTCCAACACACACTACAAATTATTCAAGCGAGCGCTCTGTCTTCTGTTGGAGAGCATTAATAGGAAGAGTGGAGGGGAGGGTGGACAGAAAGCCAGAGTGTTAGGAGAGAGCGAGGAGGGGGTGCAGATGAACAGAGGAGCTGCTGTAAAGTGCTCTGATTAGCAGGAGTAATTATCCTGCAGCGATGGAGATCCTGAATGCACCCTGGACCGCTTCCATCGCTCCGCTCCGCTCGCCCGTCCACTCCAGGAAGGAGGTGGAAGGAGGGAAGGTGATGGGAGAGCGCAGCGTTAATGTTTCTGCCTGCTGGGCCTGGGTGAACCATACCCTTTCCTCGTACACCCCTGACTGTGGCGGCCATCTTGGATTAAAACTCATCGTGAAATGTTTCAAGCAAACATCCTCTGAATGAAGAGGTCAAAATTAATTTCAGTTCAAAAGTTAAAGGGGCGATATCATGTAAAATCAACTTTTTTGAGTTTTATATCATGTTATAATGTTATACTCTCATAAAAAAAACAGGCCCAAAGCCTTGTTCTGACTCATTCGTGCATGTTTGAGAAATCCTGCAGTGTTTTTATGAAGCCATGCTGAGGAGCAAAATGACAGGTGGGGACCAGGAACGTCCCTGGGACGTGTCTTTAAGCCGAACTTCCTCATAGCAGAGCGCACCCCCCCACCTCCTCCCCACACACCCCACCCATGACTCCTGCAGGCTTTCGGGTGAAAGTGAAACTTAACTGTCTGCTGAGCTCTCAACATCAGTTCTCACTCAGTGAAGCTCTTTTCAGATTAAAAATACCTTTGAGGAAATGTATTTTCAGATGCCAAGTAAACTGTATCATGGCACACAACCCCCCACGTGCGGCCCCCCCACTGAATGGGACGAGACAGAAGCATAAGGTGGTTCTTAAAGAGACAGAGGCCATTTTCAAGGTGTTTAGAAGAGGAAGTGATGAGAAGATAAGTTTATTTTCTATTTAAACATAAAAACAGCATTTTAATAACAGCTAAATGTGACATAGATACTTCATTATGGTATAGTATTTAAATACATGCCTGAGAAACACATAATATTGGCCCTTTTAATGAAATAAGTTAAATCCCATACAGCAGATAGAGGATGACTCTGGATGCTTATAAAAGACTTTGTGAAGCTTGTAAAAGTGTGTGTGGGTGTGTGTGTTCGGCCGGTAGAGGTCACGCGGTGAAACCTGAGCACGAGCAGAAGAAATCCCAGGACTCGTATCGACCCTCCAGCATAGAATACCAGCGCAGCACATATGCTGCAGCTCTGTCTGTTTCCACCTCTGCTCCTTCCTCCTCCTCCCTGTCACTGTATCGCGTAATCAACACTCGCTGACAGTTGGATATGAGCTGGGGATTTGGGGATTTGAAAAAGAAAAAAACCCTTAATCACATCTTCATTAAAGCAGAGGTAAAATTGAGCAAGACGGTTTGCGTGAGAATCGAAGGCGCAGACGAGACGGGAATCCCGATGAGACAGATTTTTAGTTTGTTGCAGAAACTGTAGGATTGTCAAAGACCACCATGGCAGCCTGGAAACATCCTCACACCCCGTGTGTCTGCAGTCCTTACTGACGCTGGTTAACAGGGCGTCCCTTTCATGGGCTCACTCATGATACCATCTCCGATCCGAACCGTTGCTGCTGCTATCGTGCCATCGGTCGGGACCAGGCGGGTCAGAGTTGAGCTGCRTGGGTGGSCAGCGAAAAGCTGCTTTGTGACTTATTATCTGGTGGAAATCTTGAGGCTGGATAAGGAGCATTTACTGTATGCATATGAGCTGGTGGCCCCCACTCTGACGTGCTGTCAGGAGTGCAGCTGAACTTGTTGTTTTATGGTCTGATTGACGGTTGAAGCAAAAACAATGTTTGGCACCAAGAAAGAAAAGCCGTCGAGGTTTTTCCATTTCCACATCATTTGTCTAATGGTGCCCCATTAAACTCAATTAAAAGTGGAATTTAATCACTTATTCAGGAATCYTAGATTAACAACGTGTTTGTTAAAACAACTGATTTTATCGAGTTAAACTGAAGACTGATGCTAAGCCTTTAAAGTGCTGTGACCTGCGTATCCTTCAAAAACAAAAACAAGTCAAAGAAAACATCTTTAGATTCAAGAAACTTGACTTAATCTACGTGATTTTACCCTTTTTGTCACATAACTGGCTGATTCTTCTTTTTAATTTCAGCTGAAATCAAACAGGAAGTGGCATCAAAGGGAAGCTCTTTAAGAAATTAACTCTTTGTTTATTAAAACTTTATTTAAACTCTGACTCTTTTTCATCTCTGAATCAGATTCGTCTCTACAGTCTGTTATTGTCGGAGGTCTATAAAGTACTTGAAAAAATAAAGTAAAAGTACAAATAACTTAACAGAAAATGACTTTGTTAAAAGTAAATTTCACTGATGAAAAAAGTACTCAAGTAAAAGACATAACTGTTCACAAAAATAAAGAAAGTAAAAGTACTTTTACACATTCTCTAAGAAATAAACTGTTGAGTTATTTAACAAATTAACAGTCTTTGTTCCACCGGTGAGCAAAAATGGTGGGCTTTCTGCCTTTAACGTTTCCAGACACAACCAGAGGCTTTTATTTTGAAGGATAGGGTGTCAGACAACTTCCTCCAGTTCTTACTTTTAGTTTGACACCCTTAAAATAAATGTTGGAAGGCTTTTAAGGAATTTCAGAGGCGACTGTTTAACCAAACTGGTTCAACTAAACCAAGTTGAGTAAACTGAGGCAATATATTTTTTTCTTTTAAAGAAAATGTGTATTGATTCATATTTACGCTGCTAGGTTTAGTGGAACCAGTTGACATGATTTGGTTGATGAGTTCAGTTCAGACAGATTTAATTTGTAATGAGTAACTAGGTGTTAAATTGTAAAYTAAAGAAGTAAAATTATATTTTTTTAAGTTTCAAATGTAACAAAATTAAAGTAACAATAAAAAATACTTGGTAAAATTACAAACTCTCAAAAAATTATTTAAGTAATGTAATGAAGTTAATGTACTTAGTTACTATAAACCTCTGGTTATTGTAGAAACGCTCTGTTTACACGCAGACGTTTCCTTTGACATCACTTCCTGTTTCTTCACGTGAATATCTCAACAGCTGTTCGTCTCAGTAGCCTGATTTTTTTTTTTTTGTTTGTTTTTTATCAATGTAATCTTTCCAAAAATGCATTCATGTTTACTTGGATGTCACAGGCACTTTAAGGGAATATCTTTTTATTTTTGGTTTCAGACAGAAAATTTCAATCACAGCCCTGAAAGGCGAAGATGAGATCAGTTTCATGTGGAGAGGATTTCCAGCTTTCAACCAGCCGTACTGCTGGAGACAGAAAGCTTGGCTCTGCTGTGGGTGGGCGAGCGGGTTATTGACTGGCTCCGTGTTGACACTAAAGCAGTCTTTGACCTTTTAATACTAAAACTTTCAACTTCCAGCTGACCAGAGCTGACCTTTAAGCGCTCGTGTGCCCACYGACACATGTGCAAGTCTCTCCTGGTGACTTGTTCACGTGTGATTGAGACCGAAGGCTCCCGGCTAACCTCTGAAACAACATGAGGTGCTGTTTGTGGTCCGGAACGTCAGTAAAGGTGTTTTTATGGTTAAAATGTTGTGCAGTACAAATAAACTGGTGTTGGGGTCAGGGCTTTGATGCAGACTAAATGTTTATATTGTGCGAACGCTTCACAGTCATTTACACTACTGAGATCATTTCTTCCTTATGTTTTTTGGCATGTATCCCTTTCAGCTATTTGTTTTTTTTTTTTTTTTTTTTTTTTTTTGCTATTTTAACAATTCATGTAGCAAAATGTTCAGCTCCTTCTGACTATGACTTATGGTATTTCAGCTATTTATACTTTTTTAGCCATTTCACTTTTTCGGACATATTTTTCCCATTGAAAATGAATGGAGCTGTTTTTAACATATTTCTAAATCTTTGCAGTCTTCCACCTTTTGTACGCGTTTTGCTCTTTTTAACAGCCTTGTGCTGTTTTAGCTTCTTTTTTGCAAATTTTATATTTTTTCTGCTATTTCAGCTATAATTATGACCCCCGAATGCGAACCATAAGCTGGAGTCATATTGTTTTCATACTGTTTATTATT